TTTTTTTTTTTTTTTTTTTTTTTTTTTGTAAACGTACTGGCCTAAGCTTAGCTTATAAATTGTCTTGTAATAAATTGTTTTGTAATTTAAAAACAAATGAAAGAATACCCATAGATAGCAAAGTAAAATCATCGATTTTTAGAATGCTTGTAATTTAACTAAATAATTCAATAATGCAATTTTCAATAAGCACCAACATTATCATTTTAATTTCTAAGAGTTTTCTACTATCAATTAAATCACATAAATAACTCAAAATAAAGTGTTTTCTAAATAAAGAAAACATAAGGATTAGAGTTGCTCCATTATTGGTATCTCTAGTCTACTCTGATGCCATAAATTTGCACTCACCTAAATATTTAAAATACTCAATAAAAACTTTCCTAACTATGGTGGTAGCTATGAAACAACCAACATAGCGACAGCCACCAAATCAGTTTTAAAGTAACTACTACGTAATCACTACCAAGTTATTATCATTACACTAAACTTAACTAGGGGTTATTATGAAATAATCAACAAGTGAATCTTATAATCAAAACTAGGGTTCATTTTGATAACTATTTGATTTTTAGTTTTCACACGTGAGCTTATTTGTTCTGTGATCTACTTCATAAACGTGTATTCAAATTTTAGTTTTGTTTTGGAAATGCGAAGTAGTTTTAATTTTATTTTTATTTCAATAAGAATTCAAATAATTCTTGAATAAAAGATGAAAGACATGGTGCGAAGAAAAAAGAGCAAGTACCTGCGTACTAAACATTTTCATGTTATCCAAAAAAGGTTCCCATCTCCAGTTGATTGAACCTGTCAGATAGTTTTCATCACTTTCAAAGAGATCTCTGAAGAAATTTCAGCAGTAAATAACACAAATAGAGGAGCTAAATGCCTGTCTCATTATACAGCAGCATAGCAATTAGTAGGAGAGGTAGTGGACTTGGTCAGCTGCCATCCAACAAGTTCACTTTCTTTTGTGCCTGTGCTGAAATTCTGGACAAACATAAAACTTAAAACTTTCCTAACATATTCAGAAGAACCTTGGTAATTTGTTAACATGTTTGAGCATGCCACTTCAAAAAATAAAAAATAAATAAGGGATGATAGAGTTTACAAATAATCTACACGTAGAATTGGCTCTTGCACTGATGCTTGAATTGAAAGAGACGTCTATATAATACTCATATCCCAGTAAAAAAATGTAACTTATTTTTTCCTATATGATACAGCAACTTACAGGAAGGGATAAATTATTAAGTAATTGAAATGCCAGTCGGAAAAGGCAATATTTACAGCATGGACTCAACAAACTCAAAAAGCAACAAGAAAAACCTCAAACAACAGTAGCTGAAGAGAGAAAAATGGGGTGCAGTTAGGGACGATTTGGAAAACGCCCTAGCAGCAGTGGGTGCAATTTCTTGCCTTTTTGGAGGGCTTAGATGTCCATCGGTTGGTAATGCAGTTGGTGATCCGTCATTTGAAGGTGGTTTGGCATGGTCTGCTTCGCCATGGTTGGTATCTAGGCCTGCAATTTTATACACTGATAAATGTCGAATGAAGAAAAGGGAATTGAATCATGCTCAAGCCTCAATATAAGTTCTTTTTCCATGCTGATTTAAATAAATAAATAAAAAGGCCAGAAGTATATAAGCAATGCACAGGAACTTAAATCTCGACACAGGAAGAATTGAATATGAAATGTTTAATGTGCGAGTGAAAGCTACTTCACGATGTCAAGGTCATTGGTGATGTCCTTGAAATCAGAAGTTGCTGAGAAAATTCAAAAAGCAAGATTTCATTTTTGCCTCAACCAAACTCTTTCTTCCAGATAATCTTTCGAGTGATGGAAGAGCAGCTACTGCACACTGTTAGAAGAAAATTCAGTGTGTAAATAATAATGAAAACATGCTTACATTTGGACTTGGACCAACCCAATTGAAGATTTTCTCTGTCAAAAACCAGCCGGTAACCCACCATCAAGTTTTCTGTAGCACAAAGGGAAGAAGGTATCATAATTTTATCATTAAATGCATTTACGAATCCAAGCTCCTACGTGTAATCGTGTGGTAGGAGAAGAAAAGAAACTATATTATAAAAAATCATTGAAAAAGTAGCATATACAACGACAGAATTAAAAGTCCTACTTACGTCCAATTACACCGTAATCATCATCTGTCTCTTCTAAGGTTAAACAAAACAGTTTATATCCCTGCACATTAAATTTTATAAAATTCATACTTCAACCAAAACAGATCAATCATAGCCACTGAGGCAAAAGGATATGACGTCCTTTAAAGTCAAGTTGTTGTTGACATTCTATAAAAGGGGTATTTTGAATGCAATAGCCTCCATCCATAACAATAAAAGAAAAGCCAGAGAAGGGAGCAAATATTTCAGCACTTGCCCAAACATGACTTTGTGTCCTCAAACTGTGTTAAAAAACATTTCTAGCTTGCCCAATCCCAAACAAACAAATTGAGGAAACAAATCAATATTTCTAAGGGCCCACTGGGAATAATCATTTGGGTAAAATTACTCGGGAAGAAAGAGCAGGATGTCTAACTTACTTGGCTGTCAGGGAGGGTATACACAGGATCATGTATAAAGCTTTGATTCAGAGGAAACACGAGTTTCATACTAGGAATATAAGAGGACTCCAGAAAACTGTTCCACAATAAAAGAACTGTCTGTCAACCCTTAAAAAATGAGGAAAATACAATATTTATTTTACCTTTTTCAAGCACCTACCTGGAATTATAGCAGTAATTCCAGGGAAATTCTTGGAGAATTATCCTGGTAGCATTTAATTTTACTTGTTTGTCAAACTGCATTAAGTAATTCGAGACTTTAGGCCAAACAAAATTGAAATATCACACATCATTATATTCCAGTATCACCTCAAAGACTATCTTTTTATAGATTTCTGTAGGAAGATATGTAAAAGACGAGCCACTGTCAACCAATGCGTGGAATCCACTTTTCTCCAGACAGGAACTCCCAACACAAAAGGACTCCACCTCAACAAAATAGGCATCACTGAGACAAGGAATGGATGGCTTAATGGTGTTGGTGATAATAGATAACTTAAAGAGAAAATAAAGGTTAGAATTGGCTTAGCTAATAATTTAGTTGTTAGATCACATACAATTCACCAAATAATGGCAAAAATTGTGTTGTTTGCTGGGTGGCAGGACCATTGTCCCCAAAGAGGATTCTCCCAGAACCATTATTATCAAAACAAAGCGAGAATGTATTTCTAACCAATCCTGCTTTTGCCAATAAGGTTGGCACTGAAATATTTCCAGGACCCAACCCCATAACACCATCAGGAGCAGCCCCATCCAAATAGTAACCACTCTGTTTCCTACCACAGCTGCATCAAGAGGGAGAGGGGGAGATCACAAGCAAAGATTCAGGTGGCATTCCAATATCTCAACTTCAACATTGTAAAAGTAGAAGAAAACATCAAAGAAAAGCATCAAAGTACGTAACGCAGTAAGAGCCCACCCTAATACAACTGAGGCCTGCAAAAGACGTTGTGTACCATGTTTGCTGAAAGATGCCAAATGCAATTTATCTTCAATCATAAATCCAGAAGTTGATGTATTATCTGTGTAATAATCTCTTTTATAAGTGCAGGGATCATCAGGACTTTTGCAAGTTGTGCTCCAAGCACATAATTGATGACTGCAGGAAAGGTACTGGCTGGTGTTTGATAAAGCTGGATTGTACGCACTCAGATCCCTATCCTGCATCATAGACAACATTGGTGAAATTAACTGAAAAACCTGCCACAGTTCTTAGTAAACTACTAGACAAGTATTGAGACATACTAAGATAAATTGGAACATAAAAGAAACAGGTAATTAATAGAAAACGATCGTATATATATATTTGGTGTCCATTTAATTATCAGTATAGATTTAGATAAGAGCTTACTTTTGATTTACATTAGTTTGTCTTTTTGTTCTTTTTTCTTTTCCTCCGTTAATGATATATCTGAGTGGAAGGATTTGGAATACAGATCTCTCTTTAGAAGTAACATTTCACAAGTTATTTGGCAAATTTAACTGATAGAAAGAGAGATTGTCGCTTTACAACAGACTAATGATAGGTTTCAACTTTGAAGGATACGGAACATGTGAATGTTTCGATATCCACATCAGTAAGCCTCAATCTTTTATGATTCAATGATTAGGAATCTTGCACAGTAATTTAACTTCTTAATTGAATTTGGAGGAAAAGGAGACTAGTTATCCAGTTCATGAACTAGTTCAGCAGCTCACATCCCAAATACGACTTGGAATATGTTAAAAGAAGCATTAAAGAAATGAAGAAATATAGGTAGGTGATTGCAGTCATACCAGTGAGCTATAATGACTTGCAGACAAGGGAGCACATTGAATGCAATCACACGGAACCCAGAGCAGATCACTTCCAGCATCCAATGCAACGAGAAACGAAACACTCGGTGTTCCTATATCAATCCATGTGTAATGTAACCTGGACAACTAGTTCCACTGAATTCTTTAATCGCTCTAACAAACAAGGTAAAGAAATTACTCCCTCCATGCTGCTTCAAATTTTTAATGGTGAAGGAAATGCTGATAAAATTAAACATTATCGTTGCTGTGAAAGTAAAGAAAACTACACAATTGGTAGAACTTAGAAGTTAGCTAGTCTATAAAGCGATCACGTCCTGGAACAGTTAAGCTCAAGCATACTAACCAATCAAATTCGTTCCCAAAGAACACGACCTCGTTTCCTTCAGAAGGAAAAATCACCTCGTACTTCGATCCGATCTTCAGTCTCCGCCTCTTCAAGTCATAATCCTTGAGCGTTTCAAAATACTTCAAGCTATTCCTCCTCGGCCAATATTTTCCAGACGCATTACCGTTCCTGGACTTCCAAAGCGCTTTTGCCTCATCGGAGAATCGATGAACGAGCCTCGACGAGAGCCTAAGCGCAACAGAACTGTCCACCAAGAAACAAGCTACAAAGAGCAAAACTACCAAGAAATTCGCCATGGAAATTGAAGATGAAGATCAGATTTCGTAAGAATGAACTTCTGCAACGGCGAGAGAGCGTCCGGATTTGGTTTGGGGAAAAGGCAAGGAACCGAGCCTTCTGCAAACGGAGTAGAGATTGAAGCGTGAATCATGAATGGTGACGACGATAAAGCAAATTGGGTGAGACTGTGAAGAGTGTTATAATGCGCTGTTTGTGCGTACGGTGCGCGTTTCCTTGTAATAAATGCGACTATATTATGTTCATATGAGACATATTTTAAATTTACAAATTTAGAAATTTATTGAATATTTTTTTAGCTTCAATTAATTTTTATAGATAATTATAAAACATTACAAATTTAATATTTAAAATTTATTTATTAATTTTTATTGTAAAAAATATTATTAAGATTTAATGAGATTTTACAAATTTAATATTTAAAATTTTATTTTATTTACTTAATTTTTATTGTAAAAAATATTATGAGCTAAATTATTATAAATTTTTATCAAATAAAAATCAGCAGTTGAGTGGGCTGGGCTGGGAAAAGGTTGGCCCATTATTAAAATAAGGCCCATTAATATTCCAATCAGGCCACGGAAGAAGCCCGGTTCTATTGACGTGCTAAGACTCTAAAACGATAAACCCTAACAATTGAGTCTCCTCTTTGCAGTCGCGCCACTCCTTGTCGTGGAAAAGCTTCAGCACAGGGTAAGGGATGATTCAAACTGTGATTCGGGAGATTTTTCCTTAATATTCGAAGGTCTTGATTGTTTTCATCTCTGATTCTTTCTGTTTCTTCTTTCCTTTAAGAATTTTGTACACCTTTTGAGAAGCGATAATGGCGCCGGCGAAGAAGACTGTAAGTATTACTTGAACTCTCCACGAATGCTGCTCCTCCAATTAATTTAGGGATATTAGTTTCGATGATCTGTGGTATTGCAATTGCAGAAGAAGACTCATGAGAGTATTAACAACAGGCTTGCCCTTGTGATGAAGAGCGGCAAGTACACGCTGGGGTACAAAACCGTCATTCGCACTATCCGCAGCTCCAAAGGTCTTCATACGTTGTTCTTCTTTTCTGATAGATCTTATTGTTATTAACATTTGGTGTTTGATTCAAATTTAGGTTTTATTTGTCAACTTTTGACACTGTTCTGCGTTTCGATCTGTGATAATACAGGGAAGCTTATTATTCTATCGAACAACTGCCCGCCCCTGCGTAAATCCGAGATTGAGTACTACGCAATGCTTGCTAAAGTTGGGGTTCACCACTACAACGGAAGTAAGTGTAGTGCAGACTCCGCTTTGTTAGTTTGTTGTTTATATGTTCAAGTTGTAGGCAGCGTTTTCTGACTTATGATATTCGAAGCCTCGTATGCTGGATTTCAGATATATGGGATATAACTAATCTCTGTTCTTAGAAAAAGAAAATTTGTCAGTAAACTAAGCACTATCAATTCCGTATTAGAGGTATAAATGAGTAATTTGATCAATTAGGGAGGTGCTGACCTTCCGTGGGCTTGAGAACTCTTGTTTAACCCCGAAAATCATTTTTAAGCACTTCAAATTTGTTCAAACTATCTCTAAGAGTGCTTATAATGGCATTTTTAAGACCAAAATGAATAGACATTAAGCGTTTAATCCATCCTAACTAGAATCTTTATTGAAGTAATTGTAACACAGGTGATGTTCTTATACTTTTCTTTTATTAATTTGCAACTAGCATCCTCTACGATATTTAGTATAAAGCTATATGGGTTGCTTCCATTGGTAGTAGTTTGTTCTGACTCAAAAAATTGATCTAGGAGATCTAGTTTAAATTTTCATTTAATCTATATCTCATACATCTGTAATTCAAAATTTTCTTAGAAAATAAGGGGTGTATGCTCTATACCTTGTTTGCATGTTCATATGCGATTATTTGTGATTTTGTATGTTTTGTTTCTTCTGTCTTACATATTTTCTATATTTGGTTACATTTTTAGGCAATGTTGATCTTGGAACTGCTTGTGGCAAGTATTTCCGTGTATCCTGCCTAAGCATTATTGACCCAGGTATTTCATGTTTGTTTTTTGGTTTATGAATTTTCATGATCTTTCGAACATCTTGTTCTAATTCGTGATGTTTGCATAGAACACTTTATTTTAGCTTAAAAACTTGATATAGTCCTTTCCTTTTTCCATTTACTTTATGGGTTAATATTACTTCTACTTTCAAGTGAAGTTCAGAACTTAAAGCATAATATTTTGCAAGCTTTAACGAAAAATAGAACATCTATAACTCACCTGATTTTGAATTCGTTGTTAGGTGATTCTGATATTATCAAATCGCTTCCCAGTGAGCAGTGATGATACCCATCATTTAGAACGATGTATTCAATGTGGTACCACCTTTTCTCTTCAGTAAACGGTAGAATTGCATCTTTTTCAATGTCCTTAGAATAGCCTTTCTTAATTTCTGCACTTAAATCTTTTATATTGATGGCCAGATTTTGTCATTGACTTCGAGGTTTTGTTTAATTGACATGGTTGATTAGAATGTTCAATTAGTTTTAATCTATTTATTCCCAGACAATTATAAACTCCAAATCTCCTTGCCTTTTGCATTAACAATGGAACACCCTTTTCATTTACAGGATTACCTAATTGAAAATATGAATATTTTTTTTGGTTTTGCAAGCTTTATTCAACTATTCCACTATTCAAATCTAATTTGTAATCATTTATCTTCTTCGAATCTGAATGATATGATAAATTATTATCATCATTTCTTAAAGTTGTTTAAATATTAATGTTATATAGATTGAAACTATACATTAATATATTGTTATTTTGAAGATTTTACATTTATATTAAATCTCAAATATTTTTGGGTTTAAGACTTGAATATGGCTTCTTATTTATTAAATTTGTCTGTGTCTCAGAATCTAAATTGATTTATTTGTGAATGTTAGAAGTGTTATAAATTGATATAGTTAAAATAATTTATAGTAAATTACGCTTTCTTTAAATAGAATTTTATAGATATTATTAGATTGGGGTTTTTAAGATTAGAAATTCTACAAATTCATCTTTGTAAAATAATGATAATATTAAATAAATAAATAAATAAATAAATAACTGATTTCACAGCGATTGCTTCCTCGTTAACCACCGGGGGAGAACGGTCGCCATTTCATCTTCCATTCCAATTCCACCACAGAGGGAGAGAGAGAGGGTGAAGAACAGTGGAAGATCAAACGCTACTTCGTAGTTCACGAAGGTCTCCATTGCCGCCATTGATAACAGACCTCCATCCTCTCCCTTCTGTAAGTTTCTCCTTTCATTTTAACTTTGTTTTCGATTGTTAGAGTAATCGCTCTGGACTTGTATCGATTGATTCAAGAGTTTATCTAATTCTTTTTCATCCCTCGATTAACTCCTTCGACTTTGACTAACATAATCCAATAATCATCGTCAAGATTCGATTTCTTTACAAAAAAAAAAACGGAAAAACCCTTTCGTCTTCTCCATTCGCCGTTTCGTCTTTTTCTGCGATCAGTTTTTAACATAAACAATCGCCGACTTCAAATCCAATCTTATCCTTCGAACAAAACCAGGACAATTTGCTTCAACTTCCCCGTCTCCTCCTTCAATGGAGGATGAATTTCGGGATCCACATGGAAATTTATTACTTAATAAATGGTGTGTCATGAAGCGTTATGAATGTGGCGACGGCTGAGTTGTATTCTGTGTGTGACATTCAAGCAAATACGTGGTGCAATTTTGTCGCCCGCGTATGCTTCCAAATGTTGAAAAATTAGGTTCAAGAATCTTCAATTCCACAATTCAATTCACTCGAATTTAAATCTTTTGAAGGGATCGGTTTCTGAATAAAAAACGCATGCCCTTCTCTTTATAAAATGCAATACCTCTGTGTAAAACTCTGTTTATTGAACAACCAGCATGCAGAGCAAGAGCCTTTCTCCGGACTCCAGAGATTTCGACATTGATGATTACATCGGAATGGAGAGTTGTGTTGATTTGAGGGAGAATCACACGGCGGCGGACATCTCCGGGGAGAATTGTAAGAGAGATAACAAAATGTTGGGAATGGAGAGGAAAGATCACAACGAATATCCACCGCCGATTCAATTGCTGGTTCGAACTGAGAATCTGGCTTCCCAAATGCCATGGGTGTTGAAACGACGCTACACCGACGACGGGCGGCTGATTCTGACGGATGAGAGATTGAGACACTATGAATTCTTCCGTGCCCACAGATCCGACGGCCGTCTGATGCTGCAGCTGGTGGCCTTCGACGACCAGGGCTACGATGAGTCGAACGTGGAAATAGGGGATGAGGACGGCGGTAGAGGAGAGGAGTGTGCGGCGGCGGCGGAGGGCAGTGATGCAGTGATGCAGAGTCGTCTGTGTTCGGGGTGTCAGTGCCCGCAGGGAGCTTTGAGTACTGTACGACGCTTAGGGAAAGATGTCAGTAACAGCAACGGCTTATAGCGTGGAATCGCATCGTACGTGTGCACGTGTCATTTCTTTTTTCTCTATATTATATTTATCTCCTAATAACGCCACATATCCATAAAATTAGAGAGAGAAATAAAGTTTAGAATTCAAATTTTTACTTATTATTCGAATAATTTGATTTTCTAGTTGGATTAATAATAAAAAAATTATTAGACTAATGTTTGAACATTTAATTTTTAGATGATATTATATGATTATGAAAACATTAATTAGACTAATATTCAAATATTTGAGATTGGACCCTTTCTTGATTGAAGTAACTCTTTCTGGTAAGGAACCCATTTTGGTACTAAGAGTCGGTTGATAATCCACTGTCGAAGGCATTCTACTCATTCAGTTTCTACCTAGTAATGCAGATACTTTGGATCCCACTTAAACGAAACGGAAGATATTGTCGATAAATAGAAGTACGTCTTGTTCATTAACATCTTGAAAATATTCCGCCATAGTTAGAGCAGTTAAATCAACTCTCATACGGACTCCCGGCGGTTCATTCATCTGAGGCTAGAGCAACTTTTGATTATGCAATATTTTAGTCACTTTGATTACTTTAACCTTACTATTTTAATTGATAATTTTGTATAGCTTTGTCTTATATTTTTGCAAATTTGGTGGCATAAATTACTCTAATTTGGTAGAATTGTTAGTTTATTTTTTTTTAATTATTTGAGAAAATTCATATTTATTTTATGTTACAAATGTAATTTTTTTTTTTTAATTTTTATAGTACTTGAATATTATTAAACACGAGTTTACATGGTAATGAAATTATTGAATTCATTATTTCTTAAATTGTTTTCAGAGTAAAAAACAATAATTATGAAATCCAAATGGCAGACGAATGAAGTCTGAACCGTGAAGAGGAAAACGACAGCATCAAAGCTGTCGTACCAGAAACATCTGCAGAAAAAGCAAACAAAAATTCAATAATATTTTTAATAATTAATAAATTATTATTAAAGTTATCAGATCACACGGCTGTTTCTGTTTCATTCTGAGAGAAAAAAGAGAAGTTAATGAAAATAGTGGTGGAAAATTTGACAGATCAGCATCCAACGTGTATAACACGAATTGCCACATAAGCCCTAGGTCCCTAAAACCAACCAAATTCTTAGTCTCACTCCCTCATAAACTCGTATTTAATTAAAATAAAAGTTGATTAGTTTTGTAAGACAGATATTTAAGATAAAAGGAAAACAAAATAAAAACGAAAATAAATTAGTTAATTAAAACGGGATTTAAATATGTTTTATTGGTTAAAAATTTAGTAAAGAATTTAATTGAACAGATGTATTGCAGGTTAATTAATGAACGGAGGGCCACATCCGTTCCGTTCCCATTCGGTTTAATTATTTTTAAAATATTAATTATAATTAATAATAATAATAATAATAAAAATAATAAAAGTCTGGTAAAATAAAGAAAAATATATTCATTTCATTCCCTGGGCCACCATGGCTAGGGTTTGGGAGAGCAAAAGAAAACCCTCTCTGCAATAAAACAGTGAAGAAATCCGCCATGGGGTATTTCTCTGGCGAACGCAACTTTTTTTCAGAGGTTAAGGTAATCGTTTCGTCTTTCTTAGGCTTCCTGCTCTGCGCAACGAGTTTTCGGTTCCCCATGCAAAATCAGAATCAATGTCCAGTTATCGAAACTGTACGATCCTCGATTTCTGGACTCAAAGCCCTAATTTCTTCGGAAGAAGGAAAAGGAAAGGAAGAACGAGTCATTCGCGGTGTTGGAGTCGGCATTATCAGGTCAAAATTGTCGACTAATTCTTCTTCTTCTTTTTGTAATTCCATCAGATCTTTTAATTTTTTAATGGACGATTTGATCGGAACTGAGAGCGGAGTTTGCTTGACTTCGAATGCCGGAGAAATCGAAGAGAAAGTAACTCGCTCTGATTCCGATTATTCTAATAATCGCGTCAATCGTCGTGATTTGTCGAAAAAGGAGTTTCCACCGCCGATTCCTTTTCTAGAAGCACTGGCAGGGCGTCGAATTCGGCCGCCGTGGATTTTAACGAGAAATTGCATCGATGGAAGGTTGATTTTGAATCTGGAGAGAGTGAGGCATCATCAATCCTTGGAATCGCACCGTGAAAATGGCCGTTTAATTCTCAATCTCGTTCCGGCGAATGTCGCTGGCGTCGGTACAGAGGATGAGGATGATCAGGATCTTCAATTCATCGAAGATGCCGAAGAAGAAGAGAAGATCAAAGAATCGGATGAATGCGAAGAAGGCGACGATCCTGAATATGCTTTTAAGAGTTTTCCGTTCGGCGGAGGCGGAGGCAGAATGGTTTGCGATCGGGGACCGTTTTGTGGTGTAAATGGGAATTTAGGAGAACGACACGTCGTCCATGGACATTTCGGTTCGGCTCCTCTTCGTTCGATGGGTACGGTTATGTGAGTTTTGTAGATGGTGAGTGGTTGCAATTGGAAACATCAAAGAGATTTAGCGTTTCGATTTTAGTCCTCCATTGATATGTCTGCAGATTTTTGTAAGTTTTTCTCGTCGCCCCTTCTTCTTCTTCTTCTTCTTCTTTTAATTTTCAGTTGAACAAATAGAAATATATCGCCATACATATTTCTTTTTAAGATTCTACCAATTTTTTTAAGAAATTAAGTGGAATTAGAAATTGTCTTTGATTACTCCAAAATTTCTTCAATTCATTTTATAAGTGGAATTAAGTTTATTACTAATACACACATGTTTTATGTATATATATATATTTAGTTTTTTTTTTTTTTTAATGTATATACAATCAGAAACAAAACTAACTTAAATTATATTTTATCCTATTTATTATATAATTTTTCTTATAATATATTATTAGTGAATTTATTAGAATGCTTTATATTTTATAATAAAAAATTATATTTTAAAAAAATTGAAATTGTACATTTAAAGGTTTATACTTTTTTTTAATAAATAAAAAAAAAATTGGAGAAAATGTGATGTTCCACCTTGGCTGGGAGGAGAACAAACAACATTTATAAGAGTGTGAAAATCTTTATCTAGCAAATGCTTTTTAAAGCCTTGAGGGGGAGCCCGAAGGACAATATCTGCTAGCGGTAAATTTGGGCGGTTACAAATAGTATCAGAGCCAGACATCGGACGATATGCTAACCTTCTCGTTGTTCCTCGAAGGGGGTAGACACGAGGTGGTGTGTCGTTAAGGACGCTGAACCCCAAAGGGGTGGATTTGGGGGCGGTCCGACATCGATTAAAGGAAGGAAAGAGTGTCAGTGAGGACGCTGGTCCCAAAGGGAGGTAGATTGTGATGTCCCACATTGGTTGGGGAGGAGAATAAACCACCACCATTTATATAAGGGTGTGGAATCCTTCCCCTAGCCGACAAAGCTGTGAGGGGAAGTCTGAAAAGGAAAAGTCCAAAGAAAGACAATATCTACTAGTGGTGGATATGGGCCGTTACAAGGAACACACCTTCCTTCCACCCGAAGATGGTTAGACAGAACGTTAGAACCAAATTTTAGAAGATATACTAAACTAAATTTTAGTAGATAAGTTAGGTGCATGCAAATTTGGATTTTATTGGGAGCTGAGATTCTAAGCTGCAACATCCTCGGTAGAATTTTTCAGGCAACTATAACACACATATGATAGAGTTCGCGTACAACAACAATTTTCAGGCAACTATAATTGTCATCGGATAGAGTTTGCATACACAACACATCTACATCTGATAGAGTTCGCATACAACTTTCAAGCATCTATAACGGTTAAAATGACACTGTTTGAAGCTTTGCATGGGATGGTGAACATGAGTTAGTGGGACCTCCGAATTAATAATGGCTTCTAAATGTATATTCTATTTCATTTCATTTTTTAAAATATATGTTGAGTCTTTGGGCCTAAGAAGCCTACGAAAACAGTCTTGCTGCGGTTTTCCAAAGCCCAATAAGCCCACAAAGGAAGTGAAGTTTGAAGGCAGTTTAGTAGCCCGTTGTTTAGTTCCCATATATGGGCCAGGCCCACCATATTAGAAGCTTTGATTGAGAATGGACGTGGTTTCATTGCTATCTCTTCATAATATTTGGAGAGTTAAGTGTCCTGTAGCCATTGAAGAAGGTATTTCTTCATTTACTGTACAGAAAAAAATTACATGGAAATAGAAACAGAACATCCTATACTTCATAATGCTCTACCAACTGGTGAATGAATACGTGCAGAAGCTTTCTTCTTATTTACACAAAACTGTTGCATTTTCACTTGTGCAGCTCACTCGACTCTAAACTCGTACCGCCTCGCTCCCTTGACTATCAATATCCTTGGTCATATCATGCTCGAACCCGAAGATGGAGCCCTTGGTGTGATATTCGAACTGGAACGTGATTTCAACAACCTATGAAAGACACGATAGAGACCACCTTAGGAAGCCAAGAAGCTACGAAGGAGGATGATCCTCTCGGGACGACCATGAGAGTCGATTATTGGCATTTAGAAGCTTCCTGGATGCTCGGACGTTCTTGACAGTCATCATGAGCTTCTGTCTCTCCCCTTCAACCTCTGCAAACTGAAGGCTTAATTGGGAGTAACGGTCATGCATCTCTCTCAGCTCAGTCTCGACAGTTGTGTACTTTCCCTTTAGATCTAACATGTCTTTGATTAACTCATTGATGTCTCGAAAGCTTCGGAATATCGCTTCTTCTTCGCCGTGTTGCTTCAAGAAAGAACTGAACCACAAACCAAAAATTTTGTTGAAAACATCAAGAGTAGAAAAATGCTAATAAGAATCAAATTGGCCATGCTCGTACTATGTGATGTACCTCTGAAAATGTAGGCTCGGTTTCTTTTTAGCTCGCAACGCTTCAGCAAGCTCGATCTCCAAAGCTAGTACCCGTTCTAAAGCATTGCCACTGCTAGAAAACTCCTTGAACAGAGGGAATATGCTTCCTAGTTCTTCGTTCACCTGAACAAACGAACCGAAGTGTCAGCACGTCGATGTACACGTTGAAAATTGGTAAATACTAATTATGGATTACCTTATGTAACTGCATCAGTTGACATTCTAACCCAGGAAAATCTGACTCAGAAGTATGATCATCAGGCACAAGCGAGTTTTCGTTTTTCAATCTTTCCAACTGCAAGCAAGAAAACGAGATGACTATAATGACATTTAAATCGAACATGTTTGGCAAGCTGTTAAACGATACGATAAATCAAAAAACGAAACCCAAACTTTCTTTCTCCAATACAGCTTACTAACCTCTTCATTTA